CCTCGCTGCTCCTTGTTATCACAAGAATAATAGCCATGCTTAATAATAAACAAAAATTCAATTTTTGTGAAGCCATGGCTTTCGTTTTGTTTTTGTCTTTTTTTCCCTTAGGCTCAGAGAAATTAATATATGTTTTCTTTCTCAGGCCGGCTGGAATTGGGATGTAAAAAATAGAAATGTAAACAGAATTATTTTTTTCAATGTTGTATTTGTGTACATATATGAGTAAAGATCGCATCGTAAGAGCCACTAAAATAGAAAAATCATGAGAGAAAAGAGGTATACCCTCAATTTTCTTATGTTTAGCGTGGTGGTAAAATTGTTCCTCATATATTGATGTGTTAATTTTACCCGTGGTATGAATTTGTTGCACCATGCATGATAATAAAGTCGTACACAAACTAAACTGGCTCAATACAATAATTGAAAATTTTATTCATTATTACACTAGAGTTATCAAATTTTACATGATATAATAGTAATGTCACTAAACTTTACTCAATAGTTATCTATTAATGTGATACTACTTTAGTAATGTTTAGTTAATTTTGGTGGGTTTTAACAAGTGTGAATGGGAAAAGAAAAGAGAGAATATGAAAAGTGAGGGAACTACTTTGGAGGGAAAGTGAAAAGACATTTGCAAAATGCAAATGAAAAGTCATTTCTCCCATATCGGCAAAAGAAATAGAAATTGTTGTCCTTATAGAAGGAAACACTTCCATTACTTCTTAAAAGAGATAAGAAGATGCCCTCTCACGCCGTCGTCGCTCGGCTCGGAAAATTTATTTAATCAGTTTTTGTTAGATCAAATAAATCCTGTTAATATTATCTCTTATAAATTTGTGGGTAACGGTAACATTCCGAAAAGTTGTTATTTTTCCGAAAAGTCGTTACTTTCCAAAAAGTAGTTGTTTTTCCTAACAGACACATTTTTTCAAAAAGTTGTTATTTTTTCCAAAAGACACAACTTTCTGGATAAAATGGATCTGAACAAATTTCACTGAACAGACATGTTCCTTAGGAAGTCAATTTTTGATTTTTTCATACACTGAAAATTTTCTTTCTATGCATTTATTTTTTCTCTCAAAATAAAATCAAAGTGTCGATTGACTGAGTCTGTGTGACTTGTTGCTGTTCTTCAATTCGTTGAAGTTAAAGAAGTTTGAGGTACCGCTATTTCTTTAACAGGTTTAATCCGTTTTATCTTGGGAGAAATTAATCCATAACCTTGTGTACAATGAGGGGATTAAATTTCTTAAGGACACACAGTAGTTTCTGTGGACTCGAATTAATTCTTCAATTTTAAATTTTTTCTGCTTCATCTTGTTTATGTTTCTGTTCATTAACTTCATAAATACAAATTATTGTAAGAATAACAAATTTAACATTGTTATGATGGATATAGTTAAGTTGTTTTTTCAACCTTTTCTCAAGAGCACCTATCTTTGCTTTCATGGTGACTCAAACTCACAATCTTGAAGTTGAAAGTGGAATTGCTTACCCTCCGAACAGCTTTCTTTTGTAGAAGGTAAGCTAAGTTTCTTAAATGCGACAACAAAATAAATTTGTGATTTTACTGTTATTGTGGATAAAATTTTTTTATTTTGCTTATTACAATAAGTGAAGTTTAATCATCCTCACGTGACAAAAAAAAAACTCTTTTTTTGGTAATTGACTTTTGCATCAATCACTTAAGTAGATAGGTACAAAACTATACACTACGTATATACGGGCTATCGATCAGGCAATAACAACTAGGTGTTCTTTACTAGAAAACATAACCATGAGCTACATTTTGGATCTAGGTAGACCTCTAATATAAATGATGTAGATAATCTCCTTGGCTATACACATGCAGGAAGGAGCTAGTAAGGATCGAGGGTTTCATCCAAATCCTTTTTGATGGTATATTACATTGTTTATATATATACATATAATTATTTTTGTGTATATATAGTGTATTTTGTTACGGAGGGGGGAGGGAGTATATATATGTTCTGTATCATTTGCTTCAAGAAGTATGAACTCCTCTACTATTTAATTTCCTATTGTTTAAGCTATGAGCCCTTACTGTTAGCCAATGAATGTTTCATATATACCCTTAACTTGACGAACTGGACATGTAAAACTAGCAGATCTAACCGAGTTAATTTTTTAATTAATAAAACCTAATGTCAAGTAGTTAGTCTCATCACGCAACTAACCGATCCAGTGGAAGAAAAAGCAACACTATATTTGTTGGATAGCCTATCATATTTGTTCATGAACAAATTAACAGGAATATTAAGGGACACAAAGACACTGGTGTCTTCTTATTAATTACCTCTAGTATGGTAGGAATTAAGTTCAGTACCACTATATATACTTTGGTCTTTGTTATACATTCTAGCCCTTTGATTTTGCATGCCACATGTGCCTACACCATATTCTTGGAGTCAATATTATCCCACTTTGAAGTGGTGTTTAGAAATACTGACGATCATTTGTTTTGTTGAAAGGGAGTACATGCATACATTAATTATAAATGTCACTTCAATTTTCTGTGAAATTATACTACTTGTGCCCACATCACCATTAGGTAAGTATATTTTCATAGAGACCTCAACTTTAATAAGTCTCATGTCATATGTAGCAACTCATGATTCAACATATTTATCCATTAGCTAGTGTACAAATATTCAAATAATACAATGTTTTCTTTTTTAAAAAAAAAGAATTTGAAAATGAAAGGCCCCCATGTCCCTCTAACCCGGTTCCCTAAAGATCGAGAAAAGTGAAAACTCATCTAAGATAATGTATATATTGTATATTGTGTGTATATGCGATTCTCATCGACACTATTTATTATATGACATGTGTATATCACAGAGAAATTTTCATGGATAAATTCATATATATTTGGTGATAAGCAAATTACAATGTATGTGATATACTTGGGATATAGTGGGAGATGTCACCAGTCCCGAGTTTTCAATATGAAATATCGTTAAAATTGTTTTAAAATGTCTTCAAACACCTTCACAGTTAATATTATTTAAGCTCGCCTTAGACGTTATGTTTCTAATAAAATTCAATATCACCCAATCAAGACATATCACACCAACTCTTATTTCGATTTTGATTGCTTGTCGAAGTGTTTAACTTCGATTACCTTTGGTGGAACTAACTAATAATAATCTTAAAATACTATATTAACTCTCATTAGTAATTAATTAAGCACAAGTGATCATGACAGATTTTAAGATTTCTTTTATTAGTAAAAATTTCAACTTCGCGAATAAAGATATTGGCCTTTATTTTTAATTATTATTATTATTATGTCTATAATATATAACTGTAATTTAAAAGATTACCAAAGATAGCTATAATTAGAATTTTATACAAAGTTCCTAAATAAAATTAATTAAATTAAAAATAACCGTCAGATATATACTATGTATATAATGAGATATAAGATTTTTTTATATATACCAACTAAAGAAAAAGTAAATAATAGATCTACTCATTTATTCGAGGAAAGATCTCTATAATCAAATTAAAATCCCTTGTTTTTAAAATATATATATATATATATATATATATATATATATATATATATATATATATATATTTACGGCTTTTTCACGGTATAAACCAATTAACATATGTACAATTAAACCTTGGCAAATCTATAATACCTACAGATTGAATTTGAATTTGTCGTTGATATAGAGAGAGGTCTTTAACACTATATTTTAGTGAAAGGCTTATGTTACTATATAGTACTCAATATAGTTTAATTTGGATTTTGGAACATATATAAATTCCTGGTTCTAGCTAGAGTATAAAGCACAATTTGCAAGTGCTGGTACTAATTCTTATTTTAATTCAATAGACCCATAAATAGGGGTACATATTAAGTGGATTTCTGATTTGGCAACTCCTGCCACCTTTATTTTTCAACCACAAAATAAACTATGCCCTCTGCTAATAATATAATTAAGTTATAAGAAATACTACGAAAGTACTTACTTAATATAATTATGAAAATTAATAATGAGTGCTTCCTGTTAGTTGGCTGGAAAAGTTAGCAACGTCAGCGCAGATCCAATAAATCATACTAAAACTGGTTTTATTTTTTTAATCATTCCTCATAAAATTTTATAACCGAATTCTCATCAAGGAAAATGTAAAGCACCTTTACATCATGGATAATGTTTATAAACACACTCGATATGAAGCAGAGACATTAATAAAGAAATCCTATATTTTATCAATAAAATGTGTGTATATTATAACTTATCTATTTAATTCAATTTTGTATCCGGTTTAGTTTTAATACAACTTAGTCAAATGTTATTTTCTATCTTTTTTCTAATATCCAAATTATATCATATCAAATCACCTCCATAAATTTTTTTTTTGTAAGAAAGAAAATAATAAAGTGTGTGTATATTATAACTTATCTATTTAATTCAATTTGGTATCCGATTTAGTTTTACTACAACTTAATCAAATGTTATTTTCTTTTTAAAAGAAAATCAAATTATATCAAATCAAATCAACATGATTTTTTTTTATAAGAATACAAGATGAGCAAGAGAATAGTGTATTTCCAAATCACAAGCAATTTTTAGATTAAATATATATATTCACCTGAGTACTAGCCATGTAACAACACAAATAAGTTAGGCAATGAATGAAATAGTTGAATAGACCCGTAAGCTCTAAAAAGTTAATTACTCCTTTCGTTTTTATTTATATATCATTCTTATTAATTTTTTTTTTGATATATTTGTCATTTCACTAAATTAATACATAAATAACATTAATCTTTTTATTTTACCATCAGAAGTTATTAGCCTTGAAAATATGAATTTGACTAATATAGAAAAATAAGTAATTAATGCATTTTTAGTGATCAAATTAATTAATTCATGTTCATTTATTGAAAATTTAACTTTAAGAGAACACTAGATAATGATACAATGATAAACTTATTTAATTTCTTAAAGACGTGAAATCTAAAATGGTAATGATCGAATAAAAGTGATGAAAGTATAAGCTAATAGAAGTATTATTTATGACTCTTTTGTCCTTTTTATTAAGTTTAGATTTGAAGTCACAAATGTTAGGTGAAAAGTAAAAGAAAATGAGATGGATGTTCTAAAGGGTGAAACAAAACAAGGTAAAAAGCCAGATAATTATAAAAGAAAAAAAAAGAAATTAATGAGAGCCAAAAACAAGGAGAATGGTGAATATAAAATTCATCTAAAAAAGAAGGAAAGAAAACTTCATATTTAGTTCTAAACTAGCTAGAAACTTGTGTCTTCCACCATTAAAAACATAAGGGGAAGGACGAAACGAACCATAGAAAATTTAAAAACAAATTAATTACAATAGTACCTAGAAATTATATATAAAAAGAAATTCACAAACAAACATGTTCATGAGATCTTGAAATTCCTCTAACAAATCCACTTCCCCTTCTAACACAATAATCCATACTCGAAGGAAGAAGTGGTGCTTGTGATTTTCCGTAAGAATTCCAACACAATCCAGCAAGTTGATTAATTCCTCGATAATTCGTCGATGGTTTTAATTGAATATCAATTAAATCAACGTCTGTACATGGAATTGAATTACTGCAAGCTAGATGAATTGGTTTGGTTGAATAAGTTCCAATGATTTGATTGAATTGTACGTTGGATATTGCTACTGCTCCTGTTTGATTCTTGCACACATGTTTGTCACAATAATATTGGTCTATCATGATTGGTACCTTAACATTTGATACTTGAATGTTTGTAAATGATATGTTCTTAACTGATCCAACACCACCCTACAAAACAGCAATTTAAATTAATTAATATTACTAATGTGATAAAGTTTTGTTATATATAATTAACACCTACCTGCCATGTCTTAATCCTTGCACCATACATAGTGCTTTGCAAGTTCACATTGTCAACAATGATGTCTGAAACGCACGCAATACTTTTATCTTTTCCTAGTCCTCCTAGGCTGTGATAATCAAAATATGAAAATAAAATATAATTATAAATATTATTTGTTTTCGATATGTATAATCACTTGTCATTAATTAAGCTAATTATAAAATTAGGTCTTAGGTATAACTCACGCCCCAAAAGCTAGTTCAAAGGGAGGAGAATTGCCCAAGTCCACCCATTCATTATGAAACTTTTTGTCATTCTTTAACACTAATATCATCAAATGTGCGAGTAATACCTTATGCCATGTCCAGGACCACAATTCATGTGATGGACATGTATATTGGAGCAACCAGTTTGAATTGATATGCAGTCATCTCCTGGTAAATAGTTAATTAAAATTAGAAGAATTCTGAGATTAGAGAATCATATATATAATCTCATTTTTACTATAGTGGACAACAACATTGGATTGCATGAGTAATTTAATCACTTTAACTAGTGGTGTACCCAAGGATAAAAGTTAGGTGTTAATTTTCCCACTTGTTAGGTATTTATATATTGATACAATTGGAGTACATAAATTATCTAATATACTAGTGACAAAAAGTTAGTTTTAGTGACAGTTAATTTATCAGTTGAAAGCTGAGGATGAAAATGGGACCATTAGTTAGAAATATTCTTGAAATGTGAAGTGCACATGGTAGCAACTATATCAAGTCTACTCTACTTTCTTGGCCTTCTTGTTTTTTTTTTTATAAAAAAAAATAAAAAAATTCTATCCCTTTATTTCTATTTGTTAGGATGGTAAAACAATCATTCGAGAAGTAACAAGTTGATTCTTATTCGGTCATATTAATAATAGTTTTTTCACTTGAAGTCCATTCATTATTTCTCTCAGAGTCTGATAAATCAAATATAAATAAGTAAATATGATAAAAGAAAAAATTAAAATGTGAAATTTTATTTAAAATATTCTTTTAAAAATCTATTATTATTAATAAATCATCACCAGGTATACAACCTAGTTGCATAACAATTAAAAAAAGATCCGATATATCAAAAAATATCATTTTTTTAAATGTCATATAAAATGAAAGAAAATTTACCTGTTCCAATATTTGAGTGATGGATCTCAACATCTTGTGTGTTTTGGAGGTGAATTCCATCCGTGTTTGGGCTACTTTCTGGGGCAGAAATTGTAACATTGTTGATTTTCACCCCTTTAGAATTGTCAAATTTAAGGTGACATTGAGGACTGTTTATAATTTTGACATCACGTATTGTCACATTATAGCTACCATAAAATCGTAAAACCTGTCAAAAAAAATTTTTAAAAAGAAATCATCACTAGTCACGTATATGAATATTAATAATAATATATATATTTGTAATGAATTAATTAATTAGTTACTGATCGTCATATTTTACTTACAGTTGGTTTCATATCAGGAATGTTTTTAGATTTCTTCATCACCTGTAAAATAAATAAGAAATGAATTAAGAATATGATTATTAACATGCAAAAATGGTCTAATTTAATGATACTACATACGTGGATAGAGTTTACCTCTTTAATTTGAATTCACGTAAGAAAATCTCTTATTAAAAGGTTAATCACTCTTTAACAAAGATAATTAAAAATATAATATGGCTCGAACCCAAGAAATCAATCTAATTAAAAATAAATGAGTATAATTACCATTCTATCACGATACTTATTAACCTTCAACTTAAATTTACACAAGGAAGTAAAACACGCAAGGCATCTTTCTTCATATGTTATATTTTCGCGTTTTAACTTTCATATATCAATAATACAAAATATTTTTGTATGTAACTAAGTCATTTAAAAAGAATAAATTCCACCAGATAAACTACATATTGATAATAAATTTAAAAAAATTACTGTACATTTTTATTACATACAAATTAAAACTAAAAATTGATCTTTTGTTTCCCTAAACTAAAGGGAAAAAGAGAATTGTTTGCACCGACTCTAATGGTGATTTTACTCGCCCACTCACACACACACAACATATACATTTTTTTAAAAATAAAGTTAGAGTAATATTGTAAGTGGTAGAAATGTACAAACCTGAAAAAAGTCAATTTGAGAAAGTTTCCACCAGTTATAGCCTTGGCCATCAAGGGTGCCAGTACCTTGGATGGTAAAGTTGTGCATCCACTTCAAATTCAACCACTGAAACAAGCTGGATTTAGGCCAGGATCCTACTTTTGGAGGACCCAAAATAATTCCGTCTATCTGTTTACATTCCACTCATGATCAGAAATGTAACACAATTCTAACTATTAAATCATTAAAAAGGAACTTTTAACAGACAGAGAATATACTTTTTGTCAAGTGACCAGGAAATCTTTTAGGGCATGGGTGTTAGAGAGAGTATATTATTTCATCGGTCTCAATTTATGTAGCATATGTTATTACAAAAATAACTTTGAACGATGCTAATATGCACAAATTAATAAAGTATGTTAGAGTCTTTAATTTATCGGTGTGAATTAGTATTATAAAAGTCATAATATTTACAATTTAAAATATTAAAAAGAGATATGTATATTATCGAAATTTTAACTATGCCACATAAATTGACTGACGGAGTATATAAAATTATATACCTGAAAAACAAAGTTTGGCATGCATGGTCCTTGAAGTGTAATGGGATTGATTAAGAATTGAAATTCTGAAGGAATCTCTAGAGTAGCCCCTTGGACTTTGCAAGCTGCTTCCCATGCTGTTTCAAGTGCCTACAATATTGAACATTTACTCCATGAGTAGTTTGAACTAATTAAAAACAAGAAATATATTATAAGATTGAATTGGATTTATATTTTAAACATATATATATATATAAAAGAAGAATTAACTCAAATATTCGTTCACTTGACCATTTAAATTGAAAATAGATGGTAGATGTGGAATATATGTATAATTCATATATAGCAAAGTTGGATGAAAAATTTAAACTTAGGTTGGTTTATCCCTTGTATTCGATCATTGAAATCTATTGCACTTTTAAAATAATATAAATTTTTATCTTTTTTATAAATATATGGTCGAAAATTCATTAATCATATATCCGCCTTTGTGTACTAGTCAATTAAGGAGTATATAAAAGAAGTTGTAATTAGCTTTTATTTACCTTGGTATCATCAGAAACTCCATCACCTTTGGCTCCAAAGGACAAGATATTAAAAATGGGAGATCCATTTGTTGGGTAAAAACCATGAGATGGAAATGGAGAGCTTGAACAATTTGGTGCACCTCCATTATTTTTCTTATGTTTGTGGTGTATTTTGCTCTTTTTGGTATGGTAGTGTTTCCTTGCATCAACTGATATTGTGGTGGCAAAAATAAGTAGAAGAAATATAAAGCAAGTGTGCCTATAATTCTTCTTCATTTGAAACATATATTGAAATTTGCAAGTGATGAAATTGAGGTGGTTATTGACACTATATATAGACACCCCCCTTATTATACTCTGAAGAACCATTCCAAGTACATAATATGGATTATTAAATAGATGTCACTATTGTGTAAAGTTTGTGGCTCTTAACAAAACATAAACAATACAGTCTAAAGGTTCACTTTTTCACAAAACTTCTTTATTCATCATTTCACTACGCACCGACCATATTCACTTGCTTAGAGGGGTTCCATGGTACCTAATAAATCAATAATCATTATGTTTTAATTCATGCTAATTAATTAATTATTTGATTGGTGCTTGCTGGAAATTCTTTGTGTTTGCAATGATAGTCAAATTTGTAAAAATAAAGGATAATGATTAGTGAATTAAGATCGAGCATTCCCTCATTTAATTTTTACAAGAAAAAATAAATTGTGTCAAAAATAAGAATCTGAATAAAAGTAATGACAAGTGAATTAAGGTATATCAAGCTCTTTTCAATTTAGGTTTGAGCAAGAATGAATTCATGAAAAAAAAAACAAGCAAATTATGTTATTAAGAATAAGATTTTGAGTAAAACACAATGATAAAAATTTAAATAGCTTGTGTTATCAAAGTTTGATAATCGATGGAGTTATTTGATTTATGGATTACAAGTGAAGATTATATTGGATGTCCTTTATTTAAAGGGCACAAACAAGCCTCATGATTACCAACAATAAAAGGTTATCCTGTCATATATATGTGAATGAATACTCCAATATAATGGCCAAGTGATTTATGGAGTTTTAGTGAATTTTGATCACTAAAGGCTACTCGCTCAAAGGTCCACATGCCACCCATGACATTGATACCAAGTTTTAAACCAACGCATGAATGAAGATACTATCGTGTGGTCAAACTCTATTTGCTAAACCTAATTTTATCCCCATACAATCAAGTATGAAATTAAAAATTTAACTAAAATTACTGTCAATTTTTTTTTAAAAGTGTCATTATTTTTTTTAACAAACTAGGTATAATTAAATTTAACAAAAGAGAGTACCTAGTTTTACATAAGTACCTGTGGACAGATCACATGGATAATTATACTTAACAGTTTGGATTATTGAATATCAAAATCTAATTATACTAATCTACTAGCCAATCAATATGTTACCAATTAGCTTGGTATCAAATTAGAAATTAACGGAAGGTGTATTGACTCCACCGTTTCAAGCTCCTTTCTTTCACTTTCACTCACTAATATATTGATCTCCCATCAAACAAAATAATTTTTCTAGCTCTACTTAAGTTGGTAATTTAGTAATAGTAAATTACAATGAGACACGTACGAAAGTCTAAATTATGAGGGTGCATGTACATATGTATTTACTCAACAAATATATTTACGGTAATGATAATTCTTAATGGCTTAACAATTTATCCAATAAGAAAATTGAGTAATCTGTCTCCGTACGGATAAACTGTTAACTATAAAATTTTAATTCGTTCACCAACCGTTAATTTGATAACCCAATACCAATAAGCCAATGAACTAATCTGACGATTGTCTTATTAGTTATGATTTGATTTTTAACTGTTCTCGAAATGAGAATTATTTTTTAAACCCCCATACTTTTGCTAATTGCTATTACCCATTTTTATAAGCCCAAACACTTTTCTTTTTAAGCAATTTAAGTGAGAACCAACTCAAAGTTTCTTGGATCAGTGTATAAACTAAACCTTCAACTTTTTCCCCTTTATGATCGTTTCTTTCTCCAAAATTAGAAAAGCTTCACTTTCAGCTAAAAGTCTGTACTATATTATATTGAGGCTATTAATTTTTAAAAATGTTGATAAAGTAATATACACATAATAAATATATTCATATATTTTTTTGTGAGACACAATAATTTGTCTCTATGAGTGCCCAATTATTAGTTAGGCCTGATAATTTAGAAATTATTTAATATCAATTTTAATTGCAGCTTCTTTTCCTCGTGTCTCCTTGTCATTGATAAATTTTTTAGCTGTCTATGTCTTAAATATTAATGCAAAGTGTGAACATATAAGGTTGTCCATTATTAGGGTCAGCGTAACATAGTGGAAATTAATTAATAAACTAAACTAATAAAAAGAATGGTCATATTAAAACAAACTTAAAGGAGATAAATTTGATAGACAAAGTTATTTGATATATATTATTGATGAAATGTAATAAATATTTTGTAAAATTAATCATAAAATGTAAAAATTAATTCGAATATCATGACCATAAAAATAAAAGGAATGATTATATTATTAACTAATACTATTATTATTAGTAGTAGTAGTACAAGCTTGAGTTTTGGATAACTTTTGAAACATTATCATTAGCAAAGAGTACCAAACTGTTGTACCAAGATTCTCACTCACTATAATTGAGATTAATCTATTCATTATCCACTAATAAATGACCAATTTTTAATTCGTAAAAGTGCCTTTCCTCCCCCATAGAAAAAACAAACTTATTAATGTTGTTGTAAAGCAAGCGGTTATTCTATTTTCCAAATTGTTTATTTTTATCCTAATTGAAGTCTCACTTAATATCTAAAATGGAACTAGAAGTTCATATACATATTAGACCAACTCAATAACTTTTGCTTCAAATTACATATTTGTATTAAAAATATTCTAAAGTATGTACAAATATTAAGTCTATAATTTAATTATTAACACTTGAAATCATTATTCTAAAAGTTTTACTGGCCTGCAATAACAAAACTATTGTCTTATTGGTAAGGTCGGTGACGTTTCGTCCTTACTAATAATCATGGAAAAAAATAGAGAACCTTGTCCACAACAACATTTATCCTTTTAACTCACTAAATTTCAACAGGCCTTGCACCAAAACAGATTGCAAAACTATGAAACTAAATTTCACTTAATTGCTATCAACACTAAACTCTTTTCTTCCCCCTTATGGCATCATAGAAAAGATTGACTTGTAAGCAATCATGTTTAAAGGAGGGGACAAAGATGATTAATACTTTTATATGTGTTCAAAAATCGAAATATTAAATATATAAAATAAAACTGAAGTTTTAACATAAAAATTATCCCTCTCTTTACTCTTTAACTAAAATTTGCTAGTATTATTTTTTAAAAATAAAAATTATTAATTCCATTTAATGCGTTAACAATTTTGGGCCTGAACCCAAATTCCAGTATGGACCAAGTGGACTCTTATCGTTGCAATTGCATTGGGCTTTGAAGTTTCAACAAAAAAAAAAAAATTAATGATTGGCCATAGCAAAAGGGACCATTTATACACACCACATCGATACTTATTTTATTTACATGTTTCCAATTTTATTTATTTATTTATTTAAGATGCTTTAATGTTAATGTCATGCATGCCCCAATTCCAAACTGAGACATACATCAATATATTGTTGAAAAAACTGTGTCAACTTTTTCAATAGTTTGAAATATTAAAAAAGGAAGCAAATGGTTCTAAAAAGAACATAGAATATGTGTATTAAAGTTGAATGCATAATATTAAGCAAATCAGATTTGACACGAAACACAGCTACCCTTTTATTTAACCTTACGTCATAAACTTAACACAATTTAGAAGCACTTTACCTGAAACGAGTAGCTAAGTATTTAAATGAAATTTATTCATAAATTTTATAGAAGATCACAAGGTGTAGCTTTCAATTTTTCAAAGTCAACAAGATAAATACCAAGATGTTATTAAATTAAAAAGTTTCCCAACTTGTCAGCATCGATGGCTCATGGACCCCAGCCACCATACTATCAAACTTGAACAAAAAAAAAAAAAAAGAGTAAACTTCCATTTTTCAGGTGCAAGTTGTAGCTCTAAATTATGTCATAGATTTCAATTCTCTTAGCGTAATTCCTTCATTAATGGGGTTTTCATCAAAATGTTTTTTTGTATTTACATTATTTTCGTTGATAAATGTTTCCATTTGTGATCCAAGAGCAACAGAAGCAGCTCTAATTTGTTCAAACAGAACAGCTGCACAATCCGATCGACAAGTTTATGTAGAAAGTTTTCTAGAAGCCATGGATTCCATTACGCCATTAGTGGGGCGAGAGAAATTTGGAGCAGTAATTAATGGAACAGGGAATAATACAGTTTATGCGTTTGGTGAATGTATGAAGGACTTATCACAAACAGATTGTAATCTCTGTTTTGCTCAGTGCAAAACTCAAATCCTACGATGCTTACCTTTCCAAAGATTAGTTACTGGTGGGAGATTATATTATGACGGGTGTTTCTTAAGGTATGATTATTATAGATTTTTTAATGAAAGTTTGAGTTCTGTTGATAGGACCATCTGTGGGAACAAGAGTTTTGCTGGGAATCAGAGTTTGTTTAGTGATAATGTTGGAAAATTGGTGAGAGATTTGGAGTTTGGAGGCTTGAGGAATGATGGGTTTTTGACTGCAGTTGTGAGTAGTGGGAATTTGAGTGTTTATGGTTTAGCTCAATGTTGGGAATTTGTGAATGGAAGTGCTTGTCAAAGGTGTCTTTCTGATGCAGTTTTGAAGATTGGTTCTTGTGCTCCTAAGGAAGAAGGAAGGGTGTTGAATACTGGTTGTTATGTTAGGTATTCTACTCAGAGGTTCTTTAATAATTCTGCTACTGATACTCCACCTGCTGGAAATGGAGGTATCTTCTTTCTTCAATGTATGAAATAGCTTTTTTGGAGTAGCGTTAGACTCAATGTTATAACATCTTATATAACATATGCTTGCGATGTTTCTTGCTTTCATGAGTTACTTCAATCTTATCCAATGATTTTAAATGTTTAATTTTTTGTGTTTGTATGATTTGCAATGATACTTGCTATAAGCCTATAACTATTGGAAGTAGAGCAAGAAAAAGTTCAACTTGTTCTGCCCAAATATATATATTTTCTTTTTTTAAAAAAAGATAACTACTTTATCATTTGGAAATGATTTGAAAAAGGGCGGTTGGAAATCCAGGTGACTTCAATATTTCTTGAAAAGTTGCTCTTGTTATCTGTTTGTATTTCTTGAATTTTAGTTCCATTCCAGGATTTAATAACTATCTCATTACTTGTGATGATGTTTCTTTTTGTTATCTGATAAGTTGAAATGGTTCCCTTATAAATACATGAATGAAGAGTGAAATCAGCATTCATGCAAATGCAGACAATGAATCTTTTAAAAGCCGTGATAAAATAGAATGTTTAAGGCCGAACTCATGAACAAATTTTCTAAACTTGTTGGGTTTTCCCCCTCAGATACCTCAACTACGTCATTTTCCTATTAAATCATTGAACCACCCATAATTTGACTGATTTTGATTGACTTTTCTATTGTAAATGCCTTCAATTGTGTCTGTATGATTTTGATTCTATTTTGTTATCTAATGTGTTCAAATGACACAATTATTCTCAAACATTTTCACTATTAGTTGGACTAAGGAACAATATATGCATCCTCTATCAATACCCCTCACAAAAACTGGTTCCACATCAACCAACGGTGTTGAAAAGGAACAAATTATGGGTGATTCAATAGGAAACTAACATAGTTGAGATACAAAACCCCAACAAGTTTAGGAATCAATTTTATGTATTTGGCCAATGTTTAACAAAATTATGTCATTCATGTTGTCGTATTTTGATTAATTATCAGGAGGATCGAATCGTTTGGCTGTTATTCTTGCAACAACTCTGGGTATTTCTGCTTTCTTGCTATTTGTATCGGCTGTTTCATTCTTTGTGCGGAGGAAGATTCTGAAACAAAAGAGAGGTACTAATTTCTAAGTCAAATCATTTTCATTCTTTCTGAAACAAGAAATCTCATTTAAGTCTGATTGATCAAATGGCAATTTGAATTGAATTTGCTGTGATGATGTAGAGAAGAAGCAGCTAGGAGCTCTCATTAGAACGGTTAATAAATCAAAACTGAATATTTCCTATGAAACTCTTGAGAAGGCAGCAAATTACTTTAACAACTCGAATAAATTGGGACAAGGAGGTTCTGGTTCTGTTTACAAGGTAATTCTCTTTGAACATTATATTCATTTTTCTTATACTAATGAGATTTGCCTGACGATAAGTCGTGTTTATACATGAAATAGGGGATCTTGCCAGATGGGCAGGTTGTTGCTATAAAGAGGCTCTTCTTCAATACGAGGCAGTGGGTTGATCATTTCTTTAATGAGGTCAATTTGATTAGCGGCATTCATCACAAAAACTTGGTAAAGCTATTGGGTTGCAGCATTACAGGGCCGGAAAGTCTTCTAGTGTATGAGTATGTGCCCAATCATAGTCTTGCGGATTACGTCTTTGGTAAGTATCCAATCCACCTTAATTTATGAAATGTTAAATTGTAGTCTTATCTCGTTATGTAAATGTCTTTGTTCTGCACTGAATCAGACACAAAGAACCTTCAGCCACTTACATGGAGTCAAAGATACAAAATTGTATTGGGTACTGCTGAGGGATTGGCCTATCTTCATGAAGAATCGAAATTAAGGATCATCCACCGAGACATAAAGTTGAGCAATGTTCTTCTAGATGAAGATTTCACGGCAAAAATAGCTGATTTTGGTCTAGCCAGGTTATTTCCTGAAGACAGGAGCCATATTAGCACAGCTATTGCTGGCACTCTGTAAGTTCAATACCTTTTCCCTTACTTTTTCTTTAATCAATATACTAAGAAAGTGCTGGTTTTGGCATTGCAGCGGTTACATGGCTCCAGAGTACGTTGTACGTGGCATACTGACTGAAAAAGCTGATGTCTATAGTTTTGGCGTTCTTGTTGTTGAAGTCGTGTGTGGAAAGAAGAACAATTACGTTTTCAAGAACACTAACTCTCTTCTGCAACAGGTACTACTTTTTCTTTCCTTAACGGACATTAATAGTATTTACTTAACTCATGTCATTGTGGTTTCCAGTTGTGGAACTTGTATGGGATGGGAAAATCTAATGAAGCAGTTGACCCTTTATTAGAAGGTAACTTCAATAAAGAGGAGGCATCTAAACTGCTTCAAGTAGGTCTTGTTTGTGTACAAGCATCAGCAGAACTACGACCCTCTATGTCAAGTGTCGTGAAAATGCTCAGCGAGAACCATGAAATTCCTCAGCCAACACAGCCACCATTCCTCAATTCTGGTAGTTCAGAATTTAGTCCATTTAATCTGCATGGGAAAAGATTTTTCGGCCAACCAAGCTCCTCGACACAATCTTCTGGGAATAAATTGACGGAGAGTTGGATAGAGCCTAGATAAACTAAAAGTTGATCATCTGGAATTGGTATTTGATTTTGTTCAAGTTTTTTTCTGTGATTAACTACTACTCACTACTCACTCTCCTCCACTTTCATTTTTTCTTTTTTACTGATATAGTCAACTTCCTTTTGTGAATATCCCAGTCATAATCTATTTCATTTCTCTAATGTAAAAAACTCTGCAGCAGTTGCAATTAATTAACTATATCTACTGTTTTCCATTTTCAATTTTCGAGTTTTGAGTAATTAGTAATTTTCATCAAAGATTATGCTTCACAATTGTCATCATCTTGTCTTAGAAGTCACAGGCATTGGTGAAACTACACATTACAATTACATCTACGCTGACAGCTCACACTGTAAAGAACTTTTAAAATTATAGGTATAGTTTAACATGTTATTACCGTTGACTTATGATCTGAGTTACTATTTACTAATACAATCTTATCATGTATAATTACTTGCAATTGAACTGATTATGCCATTTTAAATTCCAAAAAATGTGCAGTTTGATTTCTAGGAATTTTTTTTTTGTTTGTGACCACATGCGAATGGAATTATTTGAGTGATTCAAAATCAAAATTCCCTTTATGGACCTAACTATAAAGTGGTAAGAGTTGTATTATTGTAGCAAACACTTGGTAGTTTATTTTATTATTTTATAAAAGCCATTGACCTTGGTGGAATTTAATTGCTAGTGGTTGCATTGTTATGTGTACATTGACTCAAAAGGAATCTACTACCTGTGGTCTTGTTCGAGTCGATAAGAAATTAATTAAATTTTTAGCATATGTAATAGTATTATATATTATAATTAGGATAATATCCTTTGGAAATAGACCCTAAAAGCCCCTATTCATTAGTCAAAGGCGAAGTATGTTCGGAGAAATTTCACACAACTTTTAAAATTAGAATGTACTTATAGTTAAAAAAAAAACAAGTGTATAATGACAAACTATATTATATCTGTTCAACAAGGGACCTGCCCCAAATTGTTCAATAATATTTATAAAAGTAAATTGATCGTGTAATTTTATTGTTCATTTTCGATAAATATTATTTTAATCTCGTACTCAAATTATAATGAACTATATAATTTGAAATAAAGGAAATATATATTTTAATTTTACCAAAATTGACTAGTTTACACGATCATAGAGCACTCATAAAATATGATTTTTCAGTTTTAGATGTCAGCAAAAGGAGAATGTGTTTCTATGACTTTATTTTCATTCGTGAAGCGGAGAAAGTAGACTTTTCCCTTTTCACATCAACCAAGTTATAGATGGTCAATTTGTGACAATTTAATCTATTCAACATATCTATGAAAAGAATAATTGTTGATTATATAAATATTTTATTAAGTATTTAATATTGAGGTTAAAATATAAAAATAATAAATTTTTTACTTAGATATGTCAAAAGCCATAAATAAAAATGAAAAATTTATTGTAAAATAGGTGACGAATAAAAATTAAAGGAGGGAGTAATATACTTCCTCTCGACAGCTGTTTTATATTAAAGAAGTTAGTAACTAATGCCAATTGTTTGAAGTATTACAATAAAGACAGAGTCAACATTTTTTGTATCATCTAACATTGATCTAGGAGGAATCTAGTACATGAAGTCTATTGGATTTGTCCTGTGAATTATCTTACGCTATTCCATTCTTAGTCTTATATTAAAGATTAGTGTACTTGCACATTATATGATAATATTATTGAACAATTTGGGGTAGCTCCTTACGAGGGAGGTCAAACTTTGTTTCAAATTTTTGGAAAAATATTTGGTCACGGAAACTGTAGAAAATTTATGAAGTTTGAGACGTGTTAAGATGATATTCATAAAAATATCGGTATAAAAATGGAAAATTTACTTGATCTTACTCTCTAAAAGAAGAAAATTCTTGTCATATGTCCTTTGGTATAGTCTGGTTGAATGATTAGTGATGTTTCTTAGGTGAAGACGATAATGATCTCTAACAACTTTGCCTTTGCTCTTACATGGAAGTTGTGTCATATTCCCTAAACCCTAAGCTCTTGTATTTGTTTAGACCGGAGGATTTTCATTGTTAAAAGATGTTTCTTGGACTTGATTTTTTATGGTCATTTTAAACTATTAAAGAGATTTCTTATGCTTTATTTACTTTCGCATTTCTAATTTTAGATTGAGTAATAATAATTTTTCTACGTAAATATTAGAGTAGGTGATCACACGATTTGATGGACTGAATCATAACAGTAGTATACATCAAAGAGTGGTTAAGGTTTTTTTCACATTGCATTTCTAATTAAGAATCAATCAATACTTCATCAAAAAAAAAAATTAAACCTTCCTTAATAAAGTAATCAGTAGTCAAGTTTCAATATCAATTTTGGTCGACTGTTTTCTTTTCTAGATATGCCAAAACATAGACTTTTATGTACCATTTCATTGCAAATGTTGAATACTATCTAGGACAAGAGAATGTTATTATAAAAAAAAAAAAAAAACTCTCCAAACAAGCATGGAGGTGGAAGACTTTGAAAAAAGGTGGTCGACTTTGAAAATGTTAACATGGTTGACTTGAATAGTGTTACGTTAGAGATAGTGGGCATCGACAAAATAATTGTTTGAATGAAAAATATTTTTACATTCGTTTCATTTTACTTAACTCATATTGATTTATATTGGCTAAACCTACAGCTAAGTATCACACAAGTTGTGTAAAAGAAATATTATAAAACGTACAAGTGTGACATAAAATAAGAAAGCACTCTATGATTATAACACTAGTTCATGCTTGAATTATGGAAGATTGAATTAAACAAACAACAAAGTCAGTCAACAAGTCTTTGTTAAATGCCAAAATAGATGTTCCAGATTTCCAATTAAGGTTGCATTTGATTCAGTGACACGGAATTAAGATTTTCACTTAGGAATTTAAGATAGAAATAAATATAAAAAAAAAGAAGTAAAAAAATATTCATCTATTATATACATAAAATACAATTTTAATCATGTTTAAATAATGTTAATTTTTGCAAAAGAGAACTCAAATTAATTCCTTGATCCTACCTAATGCCACCCCTGATTAATAATTAACCCCTTGATCCTACCAAATGCCGCCCCTGATTAATAATTGTAATAATAGTTTCATTTTCTGCCGAAGAGAATTCAAATGAATTTTTTGATCTTATCTGGCTTTGCCCCTGATTAATAATGATTACAATAAATAATATAAAACACTTTCACTAAAGACGTCCAAACTTCGTGGTATGAATAAATAAACAAATGAAGAAGTTAAAAAATATTTATTATTCCTCTACATAAAAAACTTTTAATTATATTTAAACAATATCATTTTTTCTGCAAAAGAAAATTTAAATAAATCTTTCAATTCTATACGGCTTTGCTCCTGATAATAATAGTTGTAATAATAGTGGAAGCGCAATAAATTAGAGTTTAAATTTGTGCAATGGTAGCAAATTTCACTTCAATAACATTATTTGCACATGGTGGCCTTTTGTTTGGAGCAACTATTTGAATACGGTTAGTTGTTAAACCAGTGAGCTAAATTTGGCATTTAGAAACAGTTGGATGAGTTTCTTTCTCTACAGATCTAACCACTAAACTAAAAAGGGACAAAATTTAAAGAGTGACCCCAGATAAGGTCATTTCTGCACACGTCCCCAATTTGTGTCAACTAGAAAAGAAGTCATAATAAATACGAATGATAAATTTCTAGAATAACTAAAATTTTGTGTCTAAAAAGGTGATAGTTTTTTGTTTACCCTAAAATCTATACAATTGAAGTCATAGAGGTCAAAGTTAAAGAGTAAAAGAGTCAATTTTGCAAGTGAGTCACTCTAGGTCCCGACTTTGAGAATAACATCGTATAAAGATGCAAATAAAACTAAGACAAATAAAAATATATTTGGTGATCAACAAAAATACATATTATTATTGTATTTTAATTTTGAAAATCAAAATATCCTTACAATGAGAAAGATCAACTACTTAAAGATTATAATAAGAAAGTTGTAGCCCATGGGAAAGTTCTACAATATCCCTAGAATACTAAGTCAATTCACATGTCATGTGTCAAAATCGTCGATGGCATTTACTAATATTCTTGCACTTTCTTAGATCGATACGAGCTTACCTGCACACCTGATTCCTATGAAATTCTTATATATTCTTTGTGTTTTTTCTTCCACATTATGATGATCGTAATATCTAATCCTATCTTATGTGGTAACACCTCTTTTTGGAGTCAATCTCTCAGAATTTTTACCTTGGATAGATTTCAGTAGTATTGCATATTTAGTCTACCCAGTCTCTTAACCAAATATATTCCCCTATACAATTTTGTTCTATCTTACTCTTCACATTTTTTTTTAGCTAAATGTCATGTTCACTAAGTAGCAAACCAGACATTCCAAGATGTTTTCTCATTGTTGGTGAAGATGTACTTAGATGAAGCTGGAAGTCTACATCATCTGTTGGAGACAAGTAGGTAAAATTAAATGGTGGGGCTAAACAGATTAAATGGATGACAATAAAGTGTCAACAATTAATTTTATTATATATAGAATTAAGTTTCAGGACACATAAGTCATTATTAATTGTAAAAGAAAATGTGAAAGATTAAACATCACATTTTTCGAATTTTAAGAAAACCATAGGATACACTAGATGAAAATTGACAAGTAGTAATCTTTGCAATTAACCTACCAATATAATAATAGTCCAATAAAAGAACCCATAAACATAAACAAATTGCAATTTACCATGATAGTTTTGTGTTTATAGTATTAAATTATTTTAGACCATGGAATTAAACATATAATCTCTTCATTTTTAAGAAAATAATTTACCTTGTTGTGTCAGAAATAATTAGGAGTGACAAAATCATAACGAACTATTAGAGCTTGAAATACAATAATAGGGCGTGCAACTCTTTTTTTTAAAAAAAAAATTTGTCATGTTTATAAATTAAATTACAACATTAGTTTTTGCTTCTATATTTAATAATTTTATAAGTTAATATTTATGCGTAGTTAATTTTCATAATTCCATTCGACAATTTTGATCAGAAAAACTCTGAAGTCAAATTTTATTTAAATTAATTGATGATAATTTTTTAAAGATCTTCATGGATATAAATTGTTTCATATAATACTAGTATTAATAATCAAAAGCAACTATCCTTCTAAAAAAAATTAGTATCTTGAAACAGAAGGCAA